GAGCCCATCGCTACACTCCCCAACAAGCTCCAGATCAAGGTCAAGGGTGTAGGCTGTGCTTTGGTGCAGGTCAGTTAAGTACTGGTTGAGCCTGTTGCTTTGTCTGTCTGTGTCTTGGTGTTGGTCTCTTTTATTCTTCCTTTCTTCCTTTCTTTCTTCTTTTCTTTCCTTCTTCTTTCCTTCTTCTTTCTTTCTTCCTTTCTTTCTTTAGTTCTTTCTTTCTTTCATCCTCTGGTTGTAATTTTCTTTCGGTTTTATTGTTTTATTTTCTTTCTTTCTGTCAAAGTCTCTTCTCTGACCCCCCCCCCCCCCCTCTTCTCTCCCTCCATCCCCCCCTCTCTCTCTCGATCTGTTTATTTTCAACTCTCACATGCTCAAACAAACAGATCAGGTCTATATGTAATATGCCTATTTAATTCATTGGTTACCAGTTTTTTTGTGTTCAATACCCTCAGGCCAATGTCCGCTATAACAAGCTGCCTTTCACCCTTGGTGGCGAAACCAAACCTAGCTTCCACTTAAAGGTCATCACCCGGCTCTATTCCCGTGACATCGACCGCTGTGATCGACGGACCATAGTGATTTCTGTTGGGTACGAGACGAAGATTGAAAAATTATATTATGTTATCTTAAATTCTATAATATATGCTATTAGTATGATTGTGTTTGTTATCTATCTATCTATCTATCTATCTATCTATCTATCTATCTATCTATCTATCTATCTATCTATCTATCTATCTATCTATCTCCATCGATCCATCCATCCATCCATCCATCCATCCATCCATCCATCCATCCATCCATCCATCCATCTATCCATCCATCCATCCGTCTATCAATCACGAGTCACTAGTCCCTTAATCCTTCCCCGGACTCGGGGGCCGCTATTTTGCTGAAAGCTGTACCAGCTGTCTCCACCTCTGACGGTCATAGACAAAGGCTTGGAGACATTGGTGTTGAGCTCATGTTCATGCTGTGTGTCTTGGGTAAGGATAGCCTGGCGGCGCCCATCCCTCTCGAGGTCGCTGACCCCGTGTCCAGAGTTCTCCACATGCCGTTTGTTTACCTGCATCTGGCTTTGATTTGAAGGAAGACGTTGGAAACACGTGTTGCAACATTTTTTATTTTATTCTTTCTGTTTTTCTGAAATTCTTTGGAAACAGCCAAAGTGCACAGCTGTAGAGCATGTAATTCGCAACTATACTTTATAACTTTTGTATAGCGCATATTCACGCTCAACAGCAAGCTGTATGCGTTTTACAATCTAATAATAATATGATTACCCCAACATACCTTGCAATGGGGGCTCTCGTGACCTAGAGCTTAAGGTGTTGGTCTCTCATTCAAAAGTCCCGGGTTCGAATCCTTGTAGTGACCGAAAACAATTTTCTTCTCTAAAATTGTTTCCTTTGACCTCATGTCCTGCTCTCTTGCAATGTTCTGCCGTCTTCCTTCGTCTCCTCTTCCGACCCCTACCCCTTCACTTCCTTTGCCTCCTCCTCTGGGCTCCTGACACTTTCTGCTGCCTTTCTACTGCTACTCCTTGGCCCCTTCTTACTGCTGTCTTTCAGCCAAACCGCTGATCTTCTGGTAGGAATGATCTATCTACACATAGCCTTTTCGGAGAAGGGCGAAAAATCTCGGAGGTCCCGTGTCCAAGTTGCGAACGTTAAAGATCCCTTGGTAGTCTAAAATCGATAAGAGTAGGCTTCGTTAAAATTAAATTTTTTTTCCTACAAACTGAAAACGTTTAATCCCGCGCGCTCATGTGACCTTATGCAGTTGCGAGCGCGGTAAAACACTTACCAGAAAAAAGACCTTGTAATACTCTGAAATACTTTTCTTGGCTTCCCGGTAAACATATGGTGTTCAATACAATAATATTAAGAGTAGCAGTATGTTTATATATAAACCAACCTGGGTGAGGGACAAGAAGCTGAGGGAGAGGGGAGGAGATGTGGTTGGGGGGGGGGGAAGGTAACTAGACTGAAGACAGAAGTCATGCAATGGAAAGAGACAGCGGTAAGTGTTGGGGTGTGTGAGTTGGGGGGGGGGGGAATGTATCTTAACGTGGTTTGCTCCTCCTGCTCCTAAATTGGGTAAACGTGTCTTTTATTGACTTGACCTTTCGAGAGGCAGAATCCTGTTTTAGCTTTTGAGGTAAAATATGAATAAAAGGTCATGATGGGCCCACACACACACATCACGATCGTCCTCAACACCCACCCACCCAAAAACAACAACAAGAAAAAAAACAAAAAAAACATACCCCCCAAAAAAACAACAACAAAAAAACAAAAAAACAACCAACCAACCAACCAAACAAAAAAAACCACACTCACACTAACACTAACGTACACGACCATGCAGTAACAACAAAACTCAAAGATGCCAATTGGTATCCTGTGGAACTTCTATATTACTTAAGCCTCTAGGGTTATCCCTTTTAACCTCGTACAAGACAGTGTGAACCTCTTTAAATAGTCCTGTTATGTATAGTAGGGAGTTATACTAATGTAAGAACAAAACAAAACCTTCCTTTTTGCAGTGCCCGAGGATCACAGAAATTCAACACCGGCATGACTATTGTTACTGTGAAAATGGTGACTGGTTGGACTCCAGTCAAAGATTCTTTTATCTATGTGAGTATGTGCATTGAACGTATCTTGTGGTCATATTTGGTGAATTAAAACATCAATTATCTCCGTTGCGATTCATAATTTCTTGACTGACACTAATTCAAAGAAAACTGAAAGATACAACAACACAGCAAAAGTTTTTTTTTAACGCTTCAGTGAAGCATTTTAGATAATTTAGCAAACAGGCTGCTTCAGTCCTCTCTGTCCCATCTCCCCCCTCCCCCTTTAAAAACAAATAGAAAACAAAAAACAAAAAACAAAAACAAAAACAAAAAACAAAACAAAAAACAGCTGATATGCAGGATAAAATACATTTATCAGAACAATTATCTTTTCCTCTTGGAACTGGTTCTCATTTCTTTTGCTTCGACACTTGACAATTAAGCTACAGACGCTTGCTGCAATAAAGATGAAACCAGAAAGACTGAGAATCCTATAGAAAATAACAGTGGTTCTTACCTTTCCTCTGTTATAGTTCGTCCACTGCAATACATGTAAGTCATTCTACAAATAGGCTGAAAAAAAATCAACCGACAGGATCAATTTAAGTTAATGCACTATAATAGCCTTTGGATGATTTCTACCAGAAGGTTGATCCTTCATTCACTAACACGGTTTTATTGAACAAAGCCACTGATAGCCATTTTTACTGAACACAGATACTGCTCAGCCAAAGTGAGAAGATAAATAGAAGCGGTTACATTGTTTAAAACTTTATCACTCTCCGTTCTTTATTTCATATACTAGTGAATGCACATGTCATTTCATCGGTACGAGCATGTGTGTGTATGTGTGTGTGTGTGTGTGTGTGTGTGTGTGTGTGTGTGTGTGTGTGTGTGTGTGTGTGTGTGTGTTTATATGTGTGTTTGTGTGTGTGTGAGAGAGAGAAAAATGAAGGAAAAGAAGGTGAGGGAGAGAGAGAGAGAGAAGAGAGAGAGAGAGAGAGAGAGAGAGAGAGAGAGAGAGAGAGAGAGAGAGAGAGAAAGAGAGAGAGAGAGAGAGAGGGGTATTCGGAAAGGGGTCCAGGGTGATGGGGCAGGGGTAGGGGGAGGGATGGGTTGAGGACGTAAAAGAGGGAAATACTTTGATGAACAAAACTGTCGCTTGAGTTCAGGCCTGTCTTATTTTATCGAACAACTATTTTTCAGCTCCAGGAAATGTTCCCAGCTCTTGGCATGAAGAGATACGAGAACAACGAAGAGGAAGGCACGCTGTCCTTTTACTTCGAAGAGGTAACAACAGACACTTAGATTTACTTTTATTTATGCTACAATTTAAATATTATGTCATGTGCATAGCAAACGTGTTGATTTTTAAAATATATATTAGATATCGCAAGGTGCCCCAAGTTGAAATACTTTTCCTTTAGAATAGAATAAAAAAGAACTGATGTTCAAAATCTGCGCTCGATACTTTGCCCCTATTTATGAAATGCTGCTAATGATGCTTTCGGATATTCATTGCGCATTAGTATTCATTTTGTTTACTCTTTCAAACTTTTCATTGTGCATGCGGACATGAGAAATTGAAAAAAAAAATTCCGTCAGTTGAGTAAAGACGCCCCTCATTGCTTAGCTTTCAGAATCATAATTGTTGTTTTATTGTTGTTGTTGTTGTTGTTGTTGTTGTTGTTGTTGTTGTTGTTGTTGTTGTTGTTGTTGTAGCTGTTGTTGTCGTCGTTGTTTTTTTGAAGTTGTGACTGTTGCTGCTTATGTTGCTAAGATTTCTGTTTGTGTATTTCTTTGTAATTTGTTCGACTTCCAAAACAATACCACTTTCACCTACTCACGGAGCACCTGTGTCTCCACAGCTCAGCAGAAGGCCCAAACAGTTTTCCTTTGATGTGGAGCAGGATCAAGCTTTGAAAGTCAGTAGTCCAAAGCCAGCTGACGTCAGGGTATATCAGTACTATGAAACAGGTGAGCTCGTGGTTTTGATTTTGGACCTTGTTAAGTTCTGCATGTACTGTTAAGTTACTACTTACTAAATCGGAAATAACCAAATGGTTTTCAGGCAATATTTTAGAGAACACACACACATACACACACACACACACACACACACACACACACACACACACACACACACACACAAAACAAACAAACGAAATCCAACAGAAAGCGAAACAAAACAAACAAAAATAAACAAAATAAAAGATGAGCATTCACTAAGGAATCCACGGCTCAAGCCGGGCATAGGAATATGACATCAGAAAAAAGGAATTGTTATAAAAATATATTTTCACCAGCCTATCATTGATGCTAGGAAAAAACCCCATAAGTAAACAATTCAAAGAATTTATGATAAACACAATATCTGAATCTGACTGTTATAGCATGCCTAGCTCTCTTATCAACGATCGAATATTCTCCAAAGAACATGACTTACAAATTGCCTCTTTACCTCAACCATCGCAGATGTGTCGGTGACCAGGCCGTACCGACTGAAGACCATCTGCGGCACAAAGGAAATGATTCCGAGAAGAAGAAACCCCGCACCTATCCCAGGACAAGCGTTCCCTGTCCAGCGTCGAATTGGTAAGAAGTGATTTTTAAAAATTACTCAGTTAAGAAACAAAACAGAAAAATATTAGTGAGGCAGCGTAGTGAAATCAGGCGCTTATCAAAATAATGAAATTGAAGAAATTAGCATTTTTCCGCCAGTTTGGTCATTTTAATCGAATCTTTTTTAGGTCTTGAATGTCCATTCAAGAACACATTGTCATTTCTGTATGGAATTTACTGAAAAACGTTAGATAAAGGTACAGAAAAATGTACGTTTTTAGTTACCAGGAGCTCTCAAGCTATGGAAATAACCAAACTTTGGCGGCCGTTTTATCGCTAATTTAACCGCGGAAACAAGGCGACCTCCACCTCCTTCAAATGTGGACATCTCGACTTCTATTCAAGATAGATGGGTATTTTTGTCATCCAAGGCAAAACAAATGAACAAGCTTTAAGATACCCTCGCAGTACCAAAAACTCCACATGCTCATAAATTAATGAGCGCCTGATTCCACCGCGTCATGACACTAAGTCCTTACACGTGCGCTGTTTTCAAGTTTATACTACATTTGGTCCCCATCAAAATGTAGATCATTCATAAGACAGGCCAACACGAGCTGCACAAGATAATCCAACTTAAATAAAAGTTATTTTAAGAAAATAAATCTTGTAACTTCTTCCCAATCTACTCTTACATCCTTCGCAATCATAAAATCGGGCGCACACATTTTTTTTTATCTTGCAGCAAAGAGCAAACTTGCTTCACTGAAATAGTTTACTCACACAGACAAATTCTGATGTTTTATATAATACGTACTCTAAGCATAATGGTATGCATAAAGCTATTGGTCTGTTAGTCTGTGTGCGGGAATGCTTTTGTAAGAGATTTGATTTGTGTGTACCTGATCATGAGCGTGCATGTCTGTATTTATGGTATTTGTAGTTGTGCTTGCTTGTACGGGTGTCAACTTTTGCGCCTGTGTGTATAATAAGATATTTCCGTGTTTATAATCTGACTATTTAGCTGCTTTTACCTCTGTTTGATTGCGATTCGCATAGTTATTACGGTTACAATTTAGAATCCAAGTGGCATAATTTCCCAACATTTTCTTTTTTCACAGATCTGAATAGAGGAAATCTTGGCGCAACGGTAAGTTTTACATGCGGCTGTCATTTCTTTTTCCCCTTTATAAAAAAAATTGTTGTTGTGCCACATATAATAGGGGATAAAGGGATAAATATTTCTGATTCACATTGTTTTTGTAACGGAAGATAGAGTTTATAATAATTTGTGCTTGTAAAGATTCATTACATTATGGCGGAAGACGTGCAAAAACTATGGGGACAAGAGAAAAACAAATCATTTGAATAAAAATGCTAACCAGAGGGTAAAATGGTTTTACTGTGTGGGAAGAAAAAGCACTTTCACCTATGTTTGTTCATGAAATTGAGAATTAAAAAAAGAAAGGTTAAGGTACATTTATATATTTTTAAAAAATACATGTACACATTGCAATGGACGCGACGTAACGCTACCTTATCCCTGAGCAGCTTCACACCAGAAATGAATATAAAATCGATCTTTATCTTACCCAGTATTTATGTTGCACGCTAATCTATACTTTATATTATGTGCTAAAATCTGAGCGATAATGGACTTCAAATTTGTGGTAAAACTTGAGAGGCGGAACATGGCAACAGATTATATTCATAGACCATAGCAATGAATGAGTTTACCTTGTCTTTGTTACATGACTCGGAGGAATATTTTTCTCCACTTTGGATCAATCAAACGCCGAGCACAATCGAAACCATTCTTTGAACAGGTCTTAATAATTGGTAAGGAGACACACGTTTTTATATTATACCATCTGGGTTTTTTTTTTCTTTTTTTCATTCAGGCCAGAGAGTCAAACTGCCCCTTGTGTCCACTGATCAAGATTGTTCCCAAGGATCTGAAGAGCTTAGTCTGCAACTCATCTGCAAGTACGTTCTTTTCTAAACAGCTGAACTAAACTGACAGAATTGAGAGAAAAGCGAAACTGTTGTATTCACCTGACAGTTCGCGGTATTTAAAAAAAGTGACTAGAACTTTTGTCCTTTTGTAAACAGACTTGCCGTAGGATTTTTCTTCACACTGAAGTCAAGATATATACATGTATAAACTGTAAGTTCGGTTGAATGTACACTTTAGTTGTAGAGCTCCAAGTCCATAAGAGTGAGGCCAAGGAAGCAAAAGGTGTTAATTAGACCCTTTCGATGCCAAGTATCAACATTAAATACTCACTGGTGGAGAGAGAGAAAGAGAGAGAGAGAGAGAGAGAGAGAGAGAGAGAGAGAGAGAGAGAGAGAGA